CGCGCGAAGCAACTTTGTTTTTTTTTTTTTTTTTTCCTTTATATTTATTTAATTTTTATATCATCTATTTTTATTATTTTTTCTAGTTTTTCTTTCTGTTTATTAATTATATTTTTTTCTATTTTAACTTTAAACATAAAATTTATTATTATGATTTGTACTATATTTTCATAAGAATTTATATAATCATTTATATTAATATTTGTTGTTATATTTTGTGTATTTTTTAATTCATTAAAATTTTTAAAGTATTTATATACATCATAAAGTGTACCGTATCTCACAATAGTAAATATATTTATATATTCTTTAATAATCATATTTTTTTTATACGATATATATAATTGTGATTTTTCTATTTCATTACCATTTTCTATTTCATAGTTTTTAATTGATTTTATTGTTATATAAATATTATATATATCTTCATCATTTAAATCTTTTATATTTTTATTTATTTTTATTTCTATATTCTTATCATATATTTTAATTTTCATCATTTATAAATGGGACACTTATTGGTGATGTGTTTTTTAAATCATCACTTCATATTCTTTTATCTAGATTAAATAGATTTGTTGTTTTTTTAACATATTTTATTTTTAGTATCATATCTTTTTTATTTCATTCTTTATTTATTGTAGTTATTGTTTCTTTATTATAAAATTTTTCTTTAAAAACATCATATGAAGGGTTTGAATTAAATCCTTTTATTTTAACAACTTCTTTGTTTTCATATTTTAGTGCATAGGTTTTTGGACAGGCAAAGACACAATCTTTTATAATTGTATCAGAATTTTTTGAATCAAAATATAATTCACCTATTTGTTTATCTAATACATCACAATTATTTTTATATTCACAAATTATGGAATCTGTATCACAATATAACAATTTACCACCTGTTTTTATAACATTTAAAAATCCTTTATATAACTTAATCCTTGCTTTTGCTGTTATAGATGCAGAAATTGTTATATTTGATATACTTTTTTCTTTTTTAGTATATGATATATAACATCCATTAATATTTACAATTTTGATATAGTTAGGATTATTAATATTTAAATTGTTACTAATTTCTTCACTAAGTCTTTCAGGATTCATACCTAACCTTCCGTAAAATGTGTTATTATTATTTTTTCCTATTAATTTATATAATCCGCCCTTTTTTCTTATTTTATTATTATTTTCTACAAAATTTTTAATAAAATAATCATAATATTGACTACCAAGCATTTTATATATTTTTATTATTTTTACACCATTTTCAATAGCAAGATTTATTTCTTCAAATCAATATCATCCTTTAAAACGACCATTTAAAAACATTAATTTATTATTATATCTTATAGGTAAAATAGGTATTTTAAGATCTTGTATAAACTCTATAAAATAAAAACCTGGTTGATTAAAATCTTGTACTATTTCTGATATATATATTTCACCACCCATAACTTTTTCACTCATACATTGTGCATACATACCACTTCAATCATAATGTAGTATTAATCCATTATCTAATTCAGGATTACCAAAAACTTCAGTTCTACCCCCAAAATAATATGGTCTTAATAATCGATCATATTTAAGATCTATTTTTTTTTTTATATATATATTTTGTTTAAAATAGTTAACTACTGATAATTTTGCAGCACTCAAAATTTTTATGTTCATTATATACCCATTTTCAAGAATTATTTTTCAATATTTGTTTATACTTAATTTTGTAATATATACATCATTTTCACAATATTCTTTTAATATTTTAAAAATGTCTACTGTATTACCATATATTTTAACAAACTCTCTATATTCTTCATCATTGTTAAAATAAGTATTTTTTAATTTTATATATCTAGTTATTTTGTTTGTTAATAATTTATATGGAAATATTGACTTATTATTTACTTCAGCTAAAATAGCTAAATCTTTTAAGGATAATAGTGTTAATTTATATGAACATCTTAATTTAATAGTTTTTTTATTATAAATAATATTACAAGAATAAATAGATTTATCTGATGATATTATCTTATAATTTATATCATATTTTTTAAAATATGATAAAAAACAATAAATTTCAAATGATAGATTGTGTACATAATATATTTTATTATTTTTACATTCTTCTAAAATAAATTTAATTAAATCAAACTCATCTATTTTTTCTATAGTTGTCTGATAATATTTTATTTTATCATTATTTGTAATAGCAACACTAAATGGTTTTGCAATATCGTCTATCCATAATGTTTCTATATCAAGAGCTTCATACATTGTTATATAATGGGGCATTTTATTTTAAGATGAATAATGAATATTCATGTTTTATATATTTATTATAGTATATATTAATATCATCCATAACCAGATGTAATTCTGATATAGGGATGCCATAACAATCATGAATTGTTATTAATTTATATCTATCCAATAAATATTTTACTAATAATGAGTCTAGATAATGGAGATTATTAGCTTCTAATGCACTTATACTAGATTTTTCATCATTCTTATATTCAATTATTTTATCGGTATATTTATCTCTTTCCCCAAGATATTGAATTTTATATTCATATTTTTTAACAACTACAGGCTCTACATATTCAAAATTAATCATTTTATCTTTATAAACATCATTTTTATATAAATAATCTTTAAGATTGTTTTTTATATTATCATAGAACTCTTTATGTATAGTAAATAGTTCACTACCATCATATGATATTTTATTATTTATTAAAGATTTTTTAAAATATTCATAACATGTATAAAGACTAGCATTATAAGGAATCGTCATAATAGTTTTTTTTCATAATTCTCTTTTTCTAAATTTATGTTCTCTTACATGCATATTTACTAAAAATTGATATGTATCACATCATTTATCACCTTCAAGATTTATATATACTAATGTCTCTTGTTTATATCCTGATATTATACCAAAATTTTGTAATCCTGAGGCAGTAGCATCTTTATATATGATATATTTTTTATCAATGATTCTATTATTTAATAAATTATTTATATTATATATTATATAAGAATTATCTTCATCATGCTTCATTTTTTCATAAAGATCAATACCTTTATATATAAAATCATCAACACTAAATAAATATTTTTCAGAATTTCCTTTTATATAATCTTTAGATAGTTCTATTAATAGTATAATAAAATAATATATTTCGATATCATTATATAACTTATAATTGCTAACACATTCCTTATATTTAAGAATGTTTAAATAATATTTACTTTTTAATAATAAATTATCGTTACTCATAATATAGTCTATTTGAATGATCTTTCTAACATATTTATTAAATGTTGGGCTTATTATACCCATTATATATTGTCTACCACGATTATCGATAAAATTAGGTAAATAAAATATTGTATCAAGCTTAATGTCTAAACATGCTTTAATCATTCTTATTTTAGTGCTATTATCAATAATACTTAAATATTTTTTATCCATTTTTATGTTATTAATATAATCAAAATAGTTTGAAAACCCATGTAGTTCTAATTCTTTCAATAATTCATCAAATAAATATTTTCTACTCCTTATAAATACATCTTTATTAATAATATAACCTATTTCATTAGCATTTTCACAACCTCTATAATCGATAGTTTTTTTAACCATATATCTACTACAATGATGTAAGGGGATATAATCTCTATAACTATTTATCGAATATGCGTCACCCTTATATATAATTACTTTATAAGGTGTACGAGCTAAACCATAATATATTTTATTATATTTATCATTTTTTAGCTTTAATATAACAACACGTGAGTAATCATCCCCATCCTTTATAGTAATAACAAGTTTTTCGATAATACCAAAGATTTTCATTCCTATTATAAGTTTCTGATGCTTTTTAAGATAATCAGGGCAACTAATATTCAATATTGTACGTATAAAACCATTTTCTGTTATACTTTTTATATACTCATCACGGGTTATTGATAATAAACCAGAACTAGAATTATTACGAAGAAATATTTTCATAACCTCCCCAAAAACATAGTGCATATGATAAAAATCAGACCCCCATATACCCTCTATAAGTCTATATAGTTTAAGTACCTTATCCTCATTCATTCCCCAAAATAGCTCAATCTCATCCATGAGCTCATCGTGAAAACCTCACTCCAAACCAACCTTATATAAAAACCTTTCATTCATCCTATGTTCATATTCCTTAAAATCTTTAAAGAGGATTACTTATATGGGACACTTTATAAGTGTCCCATATAAGTAATCCTCTTTAAAGATTTTAAGGAATATGAACATAGGATGAATGAAAGGTTTTTATATAAGGTTGGTTTGGAGTGAGGTTTTCACGATGAGCTCATGGATGAGATTCCTTATATAAAAACCTTTCATTCATCCTATGTTCATATTCCTTAAAATCTTTAAAGAGGATTACTTATATGGGACACTTATAAAGTGTCCCATATAAGTAATCCTCTTTAAAGATTTTAAGGAATATGAACATAGGATGAATGAAAGGTTTTTATATAAGG